AGAGATGGACAAACATAACCATTCTCATCCAATAGCCATACATTGCCTCATCCACCAACACGCGCTGTGTAGTAAATCACTGAAGTGGGACTCTGTTATGAAAATTGTGGTATCTTGTGTTAACTTCATTAGAGCTCATGCACTAAACCACAGACAATTTCAGGAATTTCTGTCTGAGCTAAATGTTGACTATGAAGATGTTTTGTATCACACAGAAGTCCGTTGGCTGAGTCGAGAGAGAGTTTTGAAACGTTTCTATGACTTACTTCCACAGATTACAGCTTTTCTGCTTTAAAAAAACAAAGAAGTACCAGAGCTCAATGATGCAGAATAAAAATGGCACATTGCCTTTCTGACAGATGTAACAGAGCTACTCAACAGTTTCAATGTGCAACTTCAAGGAAAGGGGAAGCTCATCTGTGATATGCAATCACATGTCAAAGCATTTGAAGTAAAATTAGGCCTCCTCATCAAACAAGTGAAGGAGGAAAACTTCTGCCATCTCCCCACAACTCAAAATCTGTTAGCGGAAAAACCATTGGTTGCATTCCCAAACAAACATGTGTGGATTCACTGGAAAAATTGCAAAAGGAGTTCCAATTTGGATTTAAAGAGCTTCATCTCCATGAACAGGACATACAGCTTTTCCGTAATCCATTTTCTATTGACATTGAAAATGTGGATACAATTTACCAGATGGAACTGGCTGAACTGCAGAATTGTGACTCTCTGAAAGACGCATTCATGTCAAGCAGCCTTCATAATTTCTATGCATCTCTCCCCTCTGAGACATATCCTCATCTCAGGAACCATGCACTCAAAATGGCAACCATCTTTGGCAGCACTTATGTCTGTGAACAGACTTTTTCCAGAATTAAACATTTGAAATCTCCAACCAGATCTAGACTAACGGATGCACACTTGCATCACTTGTTACGACTAGCAGTGACAAATATGGAACCGGACATTGACTATCTCATTAGCCAAAAGCAGGCCCATAGTTCCCATTGAAATACTGGCAAGTTTGTTGATTTAACTTTACTTGTTCTTCTTTTTAAATATTGTATTTGTACCCGTTTTGTTTCTTCACTTCAAAATAAGATATATGCAGTGTGCATAGGAATTTGTTCATAGTTTTTTTTAACTATAGTCCGGCCCTCCAACGGTCTGAGGGACAGTGAACTGGCCCCCTGTTTAAAAAGTTTGAGGACCCCTGTTCTAGACTCTATGGTACGCTCCCAGGACCACGCCCCTGACTCGTCTCCCCATTGGCTGTGGCTAAAGCCAGCAGAACCAATCCTTTACTTACAGATGTCACCTTCCCATTACGTCAGGGCCACGCCCCTAGACTTCTCCCCATTGGCTATGGGCCATGACCGGCAGAGCCAATCATCGTACGAGGTGTAATCCAACAGCAACCCGGATATGTCCTCACATTACACATGCATGTGTTCGAGTCCGTTATAGATTTCAAATGTTTGAATACGTGCCATGTATTTCATATTTATGTACACAATTACAAACGAGATGTTCCATCTTAAGAGCTTCTCTGCCTGAAATGTTTAACAATTAAGAAACTATCGCTGGAAGCTTTTAGGGCCGTCCATAAATGACGTCACGCGATTTTGGACGATTTTTGACTCCCCCCCCCCCTCGTCACACGGCGTCACAAAAAGTCAAACCCCCCCTCAAATATTACGTCACAAAGCTCTACCCCCCCCCAAAAAAAAACATGCTTCAAATAGCGTTAAACTATTATCATTGTAGTGCGTATTTAATGTGGCACTGCACTCTGATGTTGTAGGAGAAAACATTTACTAAAAAGTCTATTTAATTAAGTAAAACGTATTTTTGGTTCTTTCGGTAAGTCACGTAGAAGGGAAATAATAAAACTACAACAATAAAAAATATTAATTCTCACGACGTTTCGATTGCAAATTGCTTGTGTTGCAATCGAAACGTCGTGAGATTTGTAATTTTTTATTATTTTATTATTTCCCTTCTACGTGACTTTACCGAAAGAACCAAGAATATGAATCCCTGTAGTCACGAAAGCTTTAAATCGAAATTTAAGTAAAACGTGTTGTCTATATTTATTTAAAATTGCGCATTTTTATATGACGTCACATTTCTCACCCCCCCCCCCCTCGTCACACATCGTCACAAATGTCTGACCCACCCCCCCCCAGATGCGTGACGTCATTTATGGACGGCCCCTTTTCTGTAAAACAAACGCCAATGGATGGAGGAGGGAGCGGTGGCACAGTGGTTAGCGCACTACGCCGTCAACCCGGCGACGACACGAATCCGATTCCCGATCACGATCGGCGGCAGTGGTTCGGGAAATCTGAACCGATCCCCCGGTCCTAACCCCTTCAATTCGCTACGGTTGCTGGGAGATGTTAACTACCTCGTCCAGTGTACAGGACTTTGTGGGTTTGATCCTGACCCTGACGCCTGCTGCTGTATATTTGGAATTTGTGTGTCTCTCCTCGTGCTTGCGTGGATTTTTCTCTGGCTCCTCTGGGTTTTCCCTCCACATTTAGAATCAACATCGCGTGTTTCGAGTACTATAATTTTCGGAGGCACGGGGCCGTCTTATTCTAGATCCTGCCTGCAAAATAAATCTGTACTCTAATGTATGTAGGGTGTGTAGGCACATATATATATATAAAAGGGAAATTTTGTGAATGTGTGTTTGTTCAAAATGTTGAGCGTATTTCCCGACATGCAACAAACTTGAAATTTGCCAAGTGGGTACTTTCCAGACTGTACACCATGCAAAACGTATAAAAATAGACTTTTGTATTTTTTTGGGGGGGGCGCAATAATCTCTGTCATGTGACCCCTATGCTCATGTCACGCATCCCCCCCAACCCTCCGCGAGTAAAGGGGGGGGGGGTCCACCGGGCTTTTATAATAGATGTGGTCGCTGTACATTTCTCCGTGATGTCACTTCGTTGGGCTGTCATTTGTGGCCAGATCGCTTCTGAAATTGAGCTCCGTAGCTCAGTAAACCTTACCTGGTATAAGAAAACGTTGAGTAGTTTAGTTTCAAACATTCACCTTGACGGTAACACTATGGAGAGGCCTTCATCCAGCAGTGGATTAACAGAGGGCTGTAAATTATTGCAGCCCTTTGGAATTGCATGTTTAGTGATCTAATTACCTTTTATATACTTTGCACTCGTGTCGTGTTTTGCGTATTTTTGTTGTAACGTTCTCACCCCCCTCCGACTGGACTCTAGTATAAATATTCTTATTCACTGGATGTTTAGCATTGCAACCGTTGTGGGACGGAAGCCCCTCCTGTACGAATTTAGAGTTTTTGATAGAGATGGAGAGACAGGGCAATCTACAGGTAGAGAGACAGGGTCATCGATAGAGATACAGTGCCATTTAAAGGTAGAGAGCATGCTGCCTTGGCAGATTCCTTAGTTGAACATCGGAACAACTGTTTTATTTCCAGAAATGGTAAAACCTATTCTTATTTTTCATCATTGCCTTGCCAGGTGTTCGAGGGGGCTCTCCAGCAGTCTCTTGCATTCAGTTGCTATACTTTCCCTCTTCTCTATAGGCGTGTCTCGCTTAAGGAGTCAGATACGTTCCGCGAAAAATTGCTCTGGTAAGCGAAAAACGTGTTAAACAATCATCGTCTTCCCCATTGACTCCCACGTTAAAAGCTGAGCTACGTTTTGGCCAGAAATGTTCCACTCTTGGACAACCTTTTTACATGAAAATATATATTTTTAAAGAGTAATAAATGTAACGCCACACATGAAGGACCACAGTGCAAGATCCCCCTGTATAGCCTTAACGGATTGTTGGGGAAATTGCTGTTAACGAGCACTTATGGTACTGCACATGAAGGGGTTGAATGGACAGCACCATGTCCCAGCCACCTTTGTTTCCCTTGTGGCGATTTTTACACACCGTACCAGGTACTAATTTGAGGCAGAGCAGACCTAGGGGACGCCCAGGACGAGTTCAGATGTTACTGGTGTTGGCCGTGAGCGGGAATCGAACTCGGGTAGTCGGGTTCGTAGTGCCACGAAACAGGCGTAACACACAGCACAGCTGGTAAACAAACAGCGGCGGGACACCGTGCACCCCCTGCCGCCACGGTACGCATTAAATCGATCGCTCCATTTTGCTGGTTTCGCAAACAAATGGGTCCGAATTCAAATTGCCCGTGACAGCGAATTCTCGCACGAACGCTCATTAGAGACACGCCTGTATATACACATGAAGGGCTTTCTTTAATAGCTATTGTATGCATGGTGGTGACCCACCCAAGGCACTATCCAGGCTCAATTCTGCTGAGCTTCTAACATCTGATGGGATCGGGCACGAGGGAAGTTATTTTTTTCGATCAGCTATGAATTAATAATAAAAACTTAAAGAATAGAAATGCTACCTGCATCACGGCAATGTTCAGTTGTGAGCGGGCAGGGAGGAGTGGTGCGGCTCAACGTGGGCAGATAGCCGAGCGGAAACACAAGGGGGCACACGCATTGGAGATGGGATTGGGCAGTGAGCAGGTCAAATTGCAAACCGGACAAAATGGCAAATGAAAAAAAACACGTTAAAACCTAACTTTATTTTTGTACAGTTTGATTATACAGCAGGCATGTCCCCCCCCCTCCCCAGAAATTATACACCAAACCGATTAAACAGGCAAATGTTAATAAAATGAGATGAAGGCATTCGTGAGATGCGTTTACAGAACATCAAAACAGTAAACTTTACTCGTTTAACAAAAACTATACAATTTAAATCTGTAAAGCTTCTAAATACAAAATACGTTTTTTTCTTCTCAATACGCATAGATAGCATTCCCATTCGTGGGACTAAACACATTACTAAAGCACTTACCATTTTCACTTAAATCATATCAAGTGTATTTACCCAATTTCAAAATAGCAACACAAATGGCAATGTTTTTTTTTAATGATCATCACCACAAATGGATAGTTTATCAAAAACTAGTTTTTTTTAACAATATAGCAAACCGTAATTGGCATAGGAATAACATGATCTATAAACATGGACAACCGTGGACTTGCATGTTAATCTTTTAATAATACAAAGAAACAACAGTTCACAACATTTATATTCAAGTAACTTGTCTACTTAACTCAAGAGGTTTGCATTTCAGTAAAGCGTAAAAATGCAGAAAATGTATATAATTATCACTACATGCAACGCCCCAACAAAAAAACTCATGAATAATATGTGCACCTGTAAAAATGATATGCTCTCGCTGAACAACCTGAAACAGTTGGCTAAATCACATTGAAGGTTTTACATAGTAGTCAAACACTGATACAACCACTGTAAGTGTATCAGCTAAAGGGTTATGTTATTGATAATCATTATTACTTCCACTCTTTGATCAAAAATTAGGTTTGTAAAGCTTTAACACAGGACAACCCCCACGTGGCACGGACGTTCCTAACGCCTCACATCATCACGCATCGTCATGTCCTCACGCTTCACATTGTCACGCGTCACATCACGCCCTCACGCATCACATTGTCATGTGGAGGCGACGCACGGTGTAATCGGGTCCGCCGCTCAAACTGTGATCGCATGAGTCACACACTTCCGTGCTTTATTGCCCTTGATGTGCACATGGACTCTAGTGGTATAATGACTATGAACTGCAGTGGTATAGCCTGTACACAGTATATCAATCAGAACCGCGGTACTCACAATTACTGGAGAACCGCACAACTCAATGCACCTATTGTTATCTTGAGAATAAGTAACTCCATAGTCTGTTTAAGCCATTGTACAGGACAATTCCAAGTTAATTTAAGATTGTGTTGAATTATACTGAGTATCATTAGATATATAATTGTCAACTCCTTTACAGTACATCCGTTTTCCTCAACTTGTGAAATTGACTGCGTGCAGGACTCAGGAGATTCACGATTTCAAGTGTAGAGCATGGTCCCTCTGTCGCACTTCCACCGCTCTACAATTTACAACTATTGTATGTTTATTTGGTCACGGCAGAGAAGTTATTCTCCAGTTTTGATGACCCAGCAGTGGCCAGACGGCGGCTACTGTAGAGTTTACGGGAAAAGTGGCCGAACCAATTGCTCAGCTGTATGCAGAATGGAAAGTGCTAAAGAGCGATGATCGCTTCACTGGAGAAAATCATCACCATGCGCCCACTGCCATTGGGGTGGTTCTGCAAACGGAGATTTGCTTTTAAACAAAAACAATTCAAACAAATATTTTACCAGGTAAGGTCCACTGAGCTATATTGCTCTCTTTCAGAAGCGACCTGGCTATTACAAATGAAAAGTGGCTTATCACGTGGACATTGAAAGCAGCCAAATACTCCAAATGCATGTTGATTCTAAATGTGGAGGGAAAAACCGGAAGATCCGGAGAAAAATCCACGCGACTATGGGGAGAACTAAATATATACAGGCATCAGGGTTGGGATTGAACCCACGACTTCCTGCATATCTTCTGAGGCAGTTAACATCTCGCCACCTTCGCGCCCCAATCTTTACCCAGATTACCGAGGGCAAATTAACACCTTTTTAAGATTCAAATTCATAAGAAAATCAGTCATGCGTGTGGTGGTTTTTCAGTTTGTTACCTGCTTTCATCACAGCCAAGTGTAATAATACGAAATCGTGACCTATTTACAGATCAGTAGGACGTTGCTTCCCTCGCGCGCAAACCCGAAGCATTTGGCATAAAACGTAGAAACACGTTGATAAAAAGAAAGAGAAAAATAAATAGAAAGTATAGATCTCCAAAAAATCTGGGCAACATTATGATACACAATAGTTTTTGAAATCAAAAGTTTGAGAAAACTTAGCATTAATATAGATATAAATTCAAATCAATGTTTACAAACAAAATTAACAGTTTGGGAGAGAACATATATGAAGAACAATGAGCAGTCTGCACATCTACAATGAAAAAAGCACAAATCACCAGCATTGAAACCAGTATTTCAGATGTTATGCTACTCCCCAGGACCTTATCCGCCACAGTGAAACATAACCACTACATCAGCTTCTTGACAAACATTCCACTTTTTAACATTAAAAATATGAAATCCACATTCGACTAGAGGGCCTCTAGTTAAAATTCGAGCAAAAATAACTGTTTAGTACCACGGACAGGCAAAGTGAAGCTTATAAATGTACCCTGTTGGCTGTCATAAACTCCCCGAGAGAAGTGCAACGCTCGTCTTACATTCTACACTGCTTCTCACGTGGGGGCAGCGGATACAGGCAGCTTTCACACATTTTCCCCACGTTTCAAGCACGCACACTCGCAACCCCCACTCTGTACCCGCAAAACATAAAAACAAAGATCACCCCCCCACCACGTATAGCCTGTAACAGACTGTTGGGGCAAGTGCTGTTAGCGAGCACCGATGAAGGCCGGTATGGCGCACTAGGGGGTGGGTGGCCAGCACCGCGCCTGGCTGCATTTGTCTCCCCAGTGGCGATGTTTTCAGACACCGCACTGGGTACTAATTTGAGGTTGAGTCGTCCTAGGGGAGGCCCAGGCCCGGCTCAGATAATCGTCACCGATGTTGGCCATGAGCGGGAATCGAACTCGGGCCGCCAGGTTCGTTGTGCAGGTATGGTGCACAAGGGGGTGGGTGGCCAGCACCGCGCCTGGCCGCCTTTGTCTCCCCATTGGTGATGTTTTCAGACACCGCACTGGGTACTAATTTGAGGTTGAGTCGTCCTAGGGGAGGCCCAGGCCCGGCTCAGATAATCGTCACCGATGTTGGCCGTGAGCGGGAATTGAACTCGGGCCGCCAGGTTCGTTGTGCAGTGCGCTAAATAACTGCTTGACCACCGCTTACCCGCAAAACACACACACGTGCGCACATTTGCAAACGGATTGAACCCGGTGATTATGTCCGAATGCAATTCAACACTTTGGGCTCTCTATCCCTCGATGTCCACCAGCCTTCCCTCGGCCGGCAGGGCCTCGGCGGCAGCCACGGAGTCGTCTGGTCCCAGCGGGAGATCATCGCGGCCGTGGAAGATGCGAGGGCAGTGGACGATGAAAGGCCGGATGGGAGTGCGGCTCACCATCTTCCCCATGATGGTGGTATTGTCGCTGAAGTTGGGCTTGATCAGCGTGGGCCAGAAGCAGATGGACAGATTCTCCTCGGACATCTTGTTGGTGGCGCTGTGCTGGCACACCCTGCACGCGAGACGCACGTTTAGAATTCACGCGCATAGCTTGTCACTGGCCGTTTCCTGCACTACCGTATTTTCCCGCATATAGCCCGCATACGCATATAACCTGCAGACGCATATACCCCGCAAAAACAGCATTTTGTGTAAAAAATTTTCAGATAGTCCGCACCTCCATATACCCCGCATGCATTCATATCTTTAACGTCGTTACCGCAGCTTAATTCCATCATATTAATACAAAGTTTACATTTATAATCCATTCCACCATCAATTGTTAACATTAAAATCATAACGTGCACAAAGAAAACAAACTAACCGGAAACGAGTGAACTTAAAACAGTAAATAAGTAACGAAAGTAAATATCCAATAAATAAGTAACACCTGGTAGATAAGTACCATAAGTAAGCGTACTGTTAGGCTTACCAGCATTCGACCTCATCATATTACAGCTACTGGACTGGTAGTTACCCCTGTACAGTTTTAGCGCTGGTAGATTGCGCGCTGCGCAGACAATAGCGGCACTACGGTAACGCCATTGCCTCCTGGCAACAAAGCCATTGGAAGTGTGAAACAAAGCTCATGGTCGCGACTGTATACGGCAGTGCTCAGCCAATAGCAGCGGCCTAAGGGACTCGGCAATTATGATTCCGCCTCTGGTAGACGCTTGTTAAGGCCCTTCCCATTGTGCAATCCATAGCCTCAGCTAAAACTTTCGCACCCCCCTACAGCCACTGGAAGTATTACGGTAAACCAAGTGCACCCACTTCAAACATTGTCGTTTCATTGTACAAACAATTCGAATTATTTAAAACGTGATAACATGTGCAATTTTAGTGTGAGTGGTTTATTCAGCAGTGCTTTAGTCAAAGGTAAGTGTTGCATAGTGGATAGTCCTACCATGAAAACATTAAACGAGTTATGACATATCACATGTGTAAAATATTTTTGGGATAGCCTGCACCTCCACATACCCCACAGGGTCTTGTTTTGTTTGTAAAAAGTGGTTAACCCCGAGGGTTATATGCGGGAAAATACGGTACTCATTACATATGTAAGTTAAACTTATTTATCACTGTACTAAGCCAACCGTGCTAATCGGAGTGGGGAACATCAGTTAAACCGCTTCCAGTGTCACCAGGGGGTGGCATGTGCCGCTTCCGAACCATCGATGGAGCGAACTACTATGTGACAGCCTGCTGTGTGAATTCGGGGAGCTAGTGGACCATGGCACACCATCGTTACCACCTGTGAAGTCCGTCAGGGCGTGTCAGGCGGACTGGTGGTTGCCCTGAACGTGGGTTTAACCAGGCTGGATCCTTGAAAGATGTGGAAACTGTCCCATTGGTGAACTCCTCTCGCAGGCAAGGCTGCGTTGGCTGAGTCATGCAGTCCGCATGCCCAACCACTGCGTGCCCAAGCAGCTTCTGTTTAGCCGGATAAGAGGGGGCTAAACGGGTACGGCACGAGCTAGAAAAGAGATGGGCTGATGTGGTACAGGAGGATGTGGAGCTGAGTGGACTTTCCGAATACTGGAACTAGTGGTGTCAAAACTGGCCCCTGTGGAAGCTCGTGAAGGCAGCTATTGAACGGATGGAAGCAGTTGCCCTCCAACAAAAGCAGAGGGCAAAAGAGCGAAACTCATAACAAGGAGCAAGTTGGCACAGTAGGCAGCACAGGTATCGTATCTGCCAGCCATCTCAGCTCATCAACCCATGGGACCTGGGGTCTTTCACGTAACCTCGCCAGTGAGCCTTCAACACTTCACGTGGTCTCAAAGTACACTTAGCCTGGCACACTCGCTGTGGTGACGTCACCGCCACTTCATGGCGAATGGTGGTCGTTGTTGTCATGTGAGTGGGTGAGTGCGTTGCTGCGACCTGCAGTGGAGGTGGTTGGACACAATACTGATGAGATAAAACAGTGTGTGTCTGGTAAACCAAGTTCAAAATGTTAGAGGAATCAAGGGAAGTTAATGCCAACGGTAAAGATGATAGTAGTGATAGCAGAGTGATAGGGAGGTGACTGGAGTGAATCAGCGAGTGCTGGGTCATCAAATCACCCTGACAGATTTACGTTGAATTCTATCAGGTGCAGTGAGGAAGAAATTGGGTGCTCTATCCCGGGTGGCATTAAGGCGATGGCCATCTGGTCAGGTACAAAATATTCATGACTGTTATTTCTGACACGCTGGTGGGACTATGTCACTCCGCTGGCCTGGGAACGCCTGGGAATTCCCCAGGAAGAGCTAGAGTCCATCGCCAGGGAAAGGGGGGTCTGGACACCCTACTCAACAAACTCCCGTCGTGACCCTCACCAGGACAAGTGGACTGAGAAACGAACGAAGTTTTTATCCGAGTAGACTTCTGATGAGAGTGAAATGAGAGACACAGGCATTGATGATGAGAGTGAAATTGCCCACAACAAAAAACTTCCATCTATAAAGCGAACGCACAGCAGTGCACTTCTAACCGGTGGCATCACGAAAGACACATGAGTTAAACCACAAGAGCACACACCTGTAGAAATGCGTAATAATGAATTTGAAGACTTCGTAATTTACAAGCGGGAGCTTTTTCACAAAGTCCTGAAGAGATGCGAGCATTTCCTTTTCAACGGTGATGCCTGCAAAAAAACACACACAGCTCATCTCACAAGTGCATGAAAGTCACCTTCGCTCACAATTTCCCGCTCCTCACTAAAAACTTACTTTTGTTCCCTAGTTCACCCCATGACCCCCCTAATCTCCCCCTCATAACCACCACCGTGATCGTTTCCTCTTCATATGAACTTTATGGCAGGACTCCGGGGTCCCATAAGCCCCCGGCTCTCAGATAAACTACATTGCGACATCATTTTATGTCTGTTGAAGGTGAACGATACAGAAATGTATTCCTCTCGACGAGCTCTACATGATGCGCTAATAAAAATTAAAAGTGTTGTTTCTTCTGCGTATTCGTCCTCGCTGCGCTTGGACGATATGACAACAGAATGATCCGCGCCAGGTGGGTCGCGGCGTTTATGTGCGTGGTGGGACGGAATTGCCAACAATGAGGTTCATATTCTCATCATATGGCTATCGCTCATTAACCCCATTCATTCAATCCATTCATCATTTACTGTCATCGATTTAACTTTCACCAAATTCACGCATCATCACAGATTCGCTCCCATTCCTTCCTCTCGTCTATTTTATTCACCTCATCCCCACTATTACATTCACACACGCGTTGTTGTACCGTTCTTAATTCTCCGATAAGCGCCTTAGTTAAGGTGCTATGTAAATTACATTAAGATAAGATGTTCATCTCAAACAAAGTGAGATCCTGGGCACAACAGTTATACATCCACAAGGGGTTTTTTGGTCGCAAAAGCCTCAGCACTAAACTGGTGATTATAAAGCATGAGAAATACACGGACAGGTTTTTGCAACCAATAGGCCCTATCGCTAACCATCAAGCAAAATGGTCACCATGATTGTGCACTTTCAAATGTGCTTCTGCGGCTGTTCAGAATGCACTTCCTTCAGATATTAGGAAGCCACTGGAGCTATACACTTTGAAATAATCTAGATTGAAAACTCATTCCTTATGTCTATGGGACCTTTTTGCCAGTATTAAAAATAATGAAAAATAGTAAGAATAGGTGTTACCCTTTCTGGATATAAAACAGGTGTTAAGATGTTAAAACACCAAATAGATACATTTTGCAAGGCATTAAATCTGCATTAACACACAATGTATATATTACCAGAGCATGTTTGTTTGCATGTTTTGCCACAGATATGTGGTTAACGCAGACTTGATGCCTTGCAAAATGTATCTATTTGGCATTTGAACATCTGAACACAATTCCTGTTTTATTGCCAGAAAGGGTAAAACCTATTCTTATTTTCAAGATTTTAATCTACGTGTCTTCACGTCTGCGGATTGCACGGTGTCGTATGATGCAGTTGTATAAAAAACGCTATGTCTAAAAGTCAATATGACTACTACTTGCAGTACTAACAAGGTATATTCACACAGATTGCCGAAAGCTCTTACCGACTGCATCAGCCAAGCTCTTCTGCATGTTGTAAGGCAGAAGCGGATCCGGCAGTTCCGTGAAGAAGGACTTGAGTGCTCCAGTGATTGTGTGCACCGTCACGTTGAGGCTGGAGATGTCAAAGTTGTGATCTGGAGCACAGTGGGGGTAGGGGAAAGGCAGCGTGTGAACAATGCTTACGACGCGCAAAGTAACCTGCTTTTTATGTTTTTATTGTATTTCAACAATACAGAGCCCAAACGGTGACATACGAGGAAGGGCACATTAACTAAGTATTACTGATTAAAGTCCCGGAAAGGCAGCAATTGGTTCCTGTCCACCCCTGGAGGAGGGGCAAAAAACTCCCAGCATCCTTACTGCCCCCCCCCTGAACCCCCTCAGTTATTTGTAAATCACACACTCGGCTCTGCAGGAATGAGGGACCATCCATCCTCAAATTCCCATTCCCTGCCTTTAAGCTCCTGGCTTAAATGTTCTGCATCCGCAAGGGCAAGAAGAATACCATGCCTTTGTAAACCCAACAGGAGTGGTTGACTCGTATCTATTACAATTTACAAAGTGCTGTGTTTGCTTAAATATTTTTGCCATTGTGCCCTGTGCTCATAAACTGTAAAAAAGACGCAGACTTTCCTGCTTCAACAGTGATGCTATGGAATCACAGCCACTGAGAGCTCCTCAGCAGAAGAGGCGATGCCCTTCAATTCCACACGTTACAATGCATGCCCATGTCAACAATAAACAAACCCTGTATAAATATTCAATCACTAACATTAAGCGCCTAGAGATTTTATGAAGGGTGCTACATAAGCTGTAATTATTATTCTTATTAAGGGCAGAACTCTTTCCCCATTCACTGCGTCTAGGGGCGTGCCCCTATGGAAATTAACTGAAGTGCACTCTTGACGATCGGTCTGATAGCATCTACTCTTCTCTACACTTGAGGATCCGGTTTTAAACAAGCGTGGTTGCCCAGATTCAAACCCGGGACATGTCCTCAACCGGCAACAGAACATTTAGACCGACACTTGCTGTGCATGCGGGTTAATTTAAATTGTAACACCACCTTTCTCGAACTGTTGTAATATGTTTTTCTGGTCGACCTTATTCCCAGAAACTCGATACAGCCCTTCATTATGCAGGCCTAAAAAACACACAAAAAACAGATTTCAACATTAGAAAGTGCCACGATGGTGAGATGTTAACTACCTCATCTGGTATACAGGAGGATCGTGGGTTCAATCCCGACCCTGATGCCTGCTGAAAATTTGGAGTTTGCGTATTTGGCTGCTATACATTTCCACATGATAACCCACTTTGTCGAGCAATCATTTGTGACCATGTCGCTTCTGAAAAAGAGCTAAATAGTTCAGTGGGCCTTACCTGGTAAAATAAAAGTTTAGTTTAGTTTTATAGAATAATAATAAAAACCACATGGAATAAACAGCACAGTTGTTAGTTGTCAGCAATAAACATACAAACCTCAAAGCAGTCAGGGCGATTGATGATCCAGCACCCACTGATTAGCTCACTCACCAGTAGTAAGTCCCCTCCTTATCACTCTTATGCCGCTACTACCATGGTTACTATTCCCATGAACTTCACTCATCGATTCCTTCACCCATGTTGAGTCGGTCTAGAAGACACTTGACTGTTGTCTTCCATTACACACTGTGTTCAACCACCACACTTCAGGTCACAAACAACACGCTGTGGTGTACAGAATTGTACACCGCAGTGAAGTCAAAGTTGGAAGATTGCACACAAAGCGGCGCAAATGCGGTTTGCACGAAACAAGATGCTGTTTAACCGATTGGAGGGTCTGTTGGTTGGCACTCAAGACTCAGGCGAAAATATTTGTGGGAGGATGAGGTGTGGTGGTCACAGACTCCAGCATTCAGTTTTCTACTTGTATCTAAAGAGCCTCGGCACCATACTCGACCAGAATATGTTGTTTGATCACCACGTACAAAATATAGTCACAGTTTCTGCATTTTTCATATCGACCACTATTGAGTAGTGAAATAGCCAACATGGTGGCATGCAGCATAGTATCAGCAATGATCGATAATTGAAACTCATTACCCTATGGGACATTGGTCAAAAACATTTCCAAGCAGCAGCATGTACAAAATAATTTCGCAAATGTTGTGACAGGTACTGAAAGATCTGACCATGTCCGTCCAATCTTTGTTGAGCTGCATTGGCTTACGGTTGCCCGAACGAATACATTCTAAGGTTGCACTCATGACTGTACACACAACATGTTTGCCACAAATGAACCACGATACCTTGCCGATCTCGTCAACGAGCATAAACCATCACGCGAACTCGGGTCATCCTTGCATCGGCTTTTGGGAGCCATCGAACAAAGAGGGTCATTGTATTGCATGCTTTCAGATGCGCTTCTGTGGCAATTTGGAAAGCTCTTCATTCCGAAATTAAGAAGCCACTGGAGCTATGCACTTTTAAATCTAGATTGAAAACTAATTTCTTTAGAACTGCTTTGTGTTTCGTTTGTTGTCCTTTTCCCTGCACGTCTAATTAGCACGGTTGGTTATGTACGGTTCAAAAGAAGTTTAACACACATACTGCATCTAATAACCCACTCACGAATTAAGGAAATAGTTAACTCTTATTTATTACTGTTTGTTGTTGGCCACTTGACGTTTTGTGCCGGAACTAAAAAACTGTTTTACGAGGATGTCCAGAATTAACACCCAATTTGAGACCCAAACATCGTCGCATACCTCCTGGCTTTGCCATTCCTCCTCAAAGACACTGGTGGAACCTCATCAATGAACTTGGCATACCCCAATGACTGTATTCACACACCCTGTAAATCGCCACACAAATGCTGCACTGGCTCGGAGGTAATAGCCAAGTACACTTACATGGTCACTTGCACAGTGGGAATAGAATGGAACGATTGCTGCCGACTTTGGCCCTGCGTGAAGCGTTGTCAATAGCCAGAATAACAATTCCAACTTGTAACACTGCGCCACCACCACGGCCGCCACATAGTACAATGGTTTTGCCAACCATGGGGGTTTTCAGGAGCCTAACCCCCTATTCTCCATAAGCGTTTGGGGCTTGCCTACCACGGGGGTTTTCAGGAACTTAACCCCCCGCGGCTGGCAAGGGATTGCTGTACTCGCACATTCTCATATAATGAGTTGCGGCCGTTACGTCCGCAAATTTGCGTGCGTTATAAATTGCATTATTATTCAACAGGGACAAGGATGAACCGCTGACGATTGGAAAGGTGGCAGCAGCAGCCAGGCAATGAGGCTGCATAAAAATACCCCACCACCACTCCCCGAGCTCTGCGGTCCTCTATATATATTAATGTGTTCTCAGATAATTAACAAGTGATTATATAGGGGGGAGGAAACAAGAGTAATGGGAGAAAAACCTATGCATGCGAGGAGGCAACACTCTTGTCTCCTACAGCTGGAACAGGTGTCCACATTTTTGCTATACAGTCTTCTCCTGGTCGAGCCAAAGTATGTGGAAACCTCCTCGATACGCACGAGAAGGGAGTTTCACAACGGGTGTGTGATCCACCAACCCCCGCTGCCTCCACAGCCACCACCAGCCAATGCCCCATTGGAATTACTAGGTAACAAACCTGGAGCAGCATCTCGTCATACATATCTCACTGCCCCACCACCCCGTTCTGCTTGCACAACCGTACTGTGCCAGCAAGATATGGGTGTTTTTTTCCCACTGTCATGTAACAGAGCCGAACTACAAGTGAGCCGCAGTAGCGAGATATTAACTAACTCACCTGGTATGCAGGAGGCCGTGGGTTTGATCCCAACCCTGACACCTGCTGTATATTTGGAGTTTGCATGTCTCTCTCATCGTGGTTTGCGTGGATTTATCTCCGGGTCCCCCGGTTTTTTCCCTGCATATTTAGAATCAATGTGCATTTAAAGAATATGGCTGTATATTTCCACACAGTGATATGCCACTTTGTTGCGGTATTATTTGTGATAGCCAGGTCGCTTCTGAAAAAAGGCGGCTCGGTGGGCCTTCTTACATCATAAAATAAAAAAGTTAGTTCGTTAGTTATTAGTTAGTTATGCCAGCCTCACACGACATCCAAATCTGACTCGGCATGACATGGCATCACTGTGTTATCTGCAAGCGTCTCGGAGCGTAAGGGGGAAACATCCGCAAAAAGGAGCATGAAACAATTACGGAGCCACGAACGTTATGCGGGCATTCCTTCCCACATGAACAACATTCTCACCATTCCGCTCAATGTACTCCACACATTTCTTCAAGAACACGGGGATGGGCTGGTCTGGTAGATCCACGAGGTCTTTGAGTGGCACCCCGAAGTAAGCGTTTTTGTTCTTGCCCTTCTTCTTTTTGGGCTAGAAAAATTCAAGGAGAAAACAAAAAAATATATATTTTTTTATCAACTTGGCCAGGTCACGGAGAGCAGGTGGAGCAATGGTAGTCGGTACAAGGTCGTGTATGATAGGGAGTCCTGGTAGTGTAGGCATGGTAGTGTGTGATAGTGAGGGAGTACTGGGGGTGAAGGCATGGTAGTGCGTGATAGTGAGAAGTACTGGGGGTGTAGACACAGTAGCGTGTGATAGTGAGGAGTACTGGGGGTGTAGGCACGGTAGTGCGTGATAGTGAGTAGTACTGGGGGTGTAGGCATGGTGTAGTGTGATAGTGAGGAGTACTGGGGTGTAGGCATGGTGTAGTGTGATAGTGAGTACTGGGGGTGTAGGCAGGTTAGTGCATGATACTGAGTACTGGGGGTGGCAGCATGGTGTAGTGTGATAGTGAGGAGTACTGGGGGTGTAGGCATGGTGTAGTGTGATAGTAACGAGGGTGTAGGCATGGTAGTGCGTGATAGTGAGGGAGTACTGGGGGTGTAGGCACGGTAGTGTGTGAGAGAGGAGTACTGAGGGTGTAGGCATGGTAGCGTGTGAAAGTGAGGGAGTACTGGGGTGTAGACATGGTGTAGTGTAATAGTGAGGAGTACTGAGGGTGTAGGCAGGTTAGTGTGTGATAGTGAGGAGTACTGGGGGTGTAGGCATGGTAGTGCGTGATAGTGAGTACTGGGGGTGTAGGCACGGTAGTGTGTGATAGAGAGGAGTACTGAGGGTGTAGGCATGGTATAGTGTAATAGTGAGGAGTACTGAGGGTGTAGGCAGGTTAGTGTGTGATAGTGAGGAGTACTGGGGGTGTAGGAATGGTAGTGCGTGATACTGAGTACTGGGGGTGTAGACATGGTGTAGTGTGATAGTGAGGAGTACTGGGGGTGTAGGCATGGTGTAGTGTGAGAGTGAGGAGTACTGGGAGTGTAGGCATGGTAGTGCGTGACAGTGAGGGTGTGTTCAAGGTGTAAGAACGGTAGTGTGTGATAGTGAGGAGTACTGGGGGTGTAGGCACGGTGTAGTAGTGTGATAGTGAGGAGTACAGGGGGTTAAGGTAAATAAACAATGAAAGCCAATGCCTTCTGCGACTCACCTTGAGCTTCGAGTCCTTCAGTTTGGCGGCCTTCTTCTTTCCACCCTCGGCTGCCCGTACCCGCGGAGCATCGTCAAGGTCGGCCGCGGGGTTGTCGATGCCGCAGCTGCTCCCTTCGGCGCCCGGAGAGAGCAGCGGCGCCGAGTCTGCATGGTGCCCGCCCCGTACCGCCCTGCGCCCTCCGTCACGCGGCGCTACTGCCCCACCACTGCGTCCCTGCTCGCCGTTCCCCAGCACCTCCGACGGGTACACCTGCCTCCGCAGCAGGGTCTCCGACCTGTACCTGTAGGACGACCGCCTCCGCACCACCGGTTGGCCCTTCCTCCTTTCCTGCTCCGTCGCACTTTCCTCCGTGTCAGAGCCGTTCAGAGTTGCCCTCGAGCGCGTGAACAGCTTTGTCATCGACCAGGTCTTGGTGTCGGCGGCTGCTGCTGCGGGGACGTCTGCGATTTCGGTGTCCTCGGCATGAGCTAGAGGAGCTCGAGACAGCTGCGCCTTTGTGGGGCCTTTACTCATAGTTTCATTTATTTTTTCTATTAGCTTAGGATCGAGTTTGCTCACCCCCAAACGCTCTGCGGGTTTTGCAGGCTTCGGCGGAAGCACCTTACGATTGCGCTCGCTGTCGTGCGGCAGTGAAGCAGAACTAACTGGGAGACTGTTCCCTTCCAAATCCATCGGTCTGCTCCTGGACATGTTCGGAAGCAGCTGCGTCTCATCGCTGGCAGGGCTGTAGGGCGGCTGGCAATCGTCGTCGTCGGAATCAGACAAGGACGATGATGAAAATGTGCCGCTCTGGTTCAGAGCCTCACTGCTGACGTTCATTGTGGGATCAAAGCGGAATTCCTCCTCGACGAGAGGTCGTTTCTCCAGGGCCTCCGCGAAGAAAGGTGTGAACACCTCGGTTTGACGGTGGAAATGCGACTGGGCAGGAACGGTGCAGAACCTCCCTCCGATTTCACTGGCAATGTGCTCCCCCTCGCTGACCAATTCCTTCGCTACGACATTCTCGAAAAACTCATTTTGGCTCTCGGTTATTGCTACGAGCTGCACAGGAATGACATCGGGCACGTCAGAGAGGAAGGCGCGCATCGTTGCCATGGACGCTTTTCTCTTCGCCGAGTAAACGAGGATGTGGCCATGGGTCAGATCGTCCCTCCTCAGTGTCGCCATGTGATACGACATGATTGTGATCTTAATCTTCTTACGGTGGGCCCCAAGGAACATCTCCAAGCTCACGGAATCCACCTGGCCAGGCTGCCCGAAGGTACAGAAGCGAGACTCAAAGAAAGGCGTCAGTACCAGGTCCACGGTGAAGGGGTCCCCACACATGACGCACATCGTGACGTAGAGATCTGCTTCGGTGAGGTCGCTGCGCCCGATCACTTTCGGTGGCACCACTTCCTGATGACACGAAATGGCGATATGGACCAGCGCCTGCTTGACCTGAGCCTCTTGGAAGGCCTTTAGCACCGAGTCACCTGAGCTGTCAACGAAGGCGATCTGGTATTTATTGGCCGCTTGCTGTGCTTGCTGCCTGAGCAGCGGGTATGTTCTATTGGCCACATCTTTGTGATTGGCCAACAACAATACGATGGGAATATTTCCGGAGAGACCGTCTTTTCTGTTGCCAGTTGAGACGTTTGTCATTCTTTCTAAAGACTCCGTTAAACATTTTAAAGAATCCAAGGAATTGAAAGCACACAGGTATCCACCGGGTCTACCATTAAAGCAGGGATTTTGCATCGCAGTTGTGAAGGCCGCGACATCTCCGTCAACGACTTTCAGGTCCAGTGCGTAGTTCTTGTCGTTGATGTTGAGCTTGTTGCCCGTCGACTGTCTGGATATTTCTCTAGACAGCTCGTGCCCGAGCCCATCCTTCCCGAACACGAACACGCCGAGCTTGTCCTCGCCGCGGGAATCCGAGAGATTATCCGTGCTCCTCTGGCCAACCTTCGAGACGACGTTGGACAGAAGCTGCTCCACCTGCAGATCCACGCAGCCCAGTCGACTGAAGCAGGACTCCTTGGTCGGGTGATGCACGAAGAATATGTGCTTGAGGATGAGGGCGTCGCGCTCTGCTGGCACAAAGCGCAATGCCTTGTACCTGAGGTCGTCCTCCAGGTCCTGCATGATCTCTCCAATCTTGTCGTGGTTGAACGCCTCATTCCTATCCACATCCGCAAATGTCTCCGAGTGTTCCAGGAGCATTTCCTGGTAGTCATTCTTCGCCTTTTCAATCTTATGCTTCTGGATGTCTTGGTAGATGTCAATTCTCTCCTTCTCAGATATCGTTTGATAGCATTCCTTGGTGTAGATGGCGGACAATGAATAAACCTCTTCCCAAGGTTTTCCAGGAAAGATGCAGCTGGAACTTTCAAGGAGTTGCTTAAACTTCTCTTTCATTTCTGCCTTCTTCCTCAGGGTCTGCAGCATTTGTATGTGCGAGTGAAAGGAATTAGACCCACACTCCTTCAGAAAATCCAGGGGGACACGTTTGTCATTGGGCAAATCAATGTGTCTGCTCTCGCTCCACGGCAAGTCGGAGAGCTCAATGAACCACACCCCAAACTCACGTTTGCTTTGCACCAGCGGCAGAAACTCAGCCAATGACAGGGATTCGATTTCGTTTAAGTCAGGGACAAGTGACTCGAAAGCCTTTGGCAGTGTCTGAAGGTATTCTTCCCTTTTTTGCTCAATATGTTCAATCTTCAATCTTCTGAGATGTTCCTTGAAGGACACCTCTGCTTTTTTCAGCCCCAAAGTATCAACCATTTGCTTGTACTCGGGGAAATCTTCCATCTTCCTACGAGTGAAATTCCAAAGTGCGTGGTAATCTCTCACCTGATGCTTCAGCAGAGCCTCGTATTTCTGCGTGGTCGCCTGAGTGAACTCTTTGGCTTGCTTAGCCGCTTCGCAGTAGGGAATCAACTTTTGCTTCCCCTTCAGTTTGTCGATCATCTGTGCCAAAAGCACAAACGCGAACGAGACGTTGATGTTCTCCTGCGCAGACGTTTCCAGCAGGGGGAGATTCACCTTTTTGCTTGAGGCGAAGGCCTGCACGTCCTTCAGGAACTGCTCGTCGGCTCGGTCGCATTTGGTAGCAAGCAACAGAATGGGCTTCTTCGATTTGTTCAGCTGCACAAACAACTTATCGGTGAACCTCAGCTGGTCCGCCATGCTCCGCTGAGCAACCCGGCTCACATCCACACACAACAGAAACCCGTCGATGATCAGTTTGCCGTCTGGCATCGGCTGCTGTTCAAAGTCATGCTCGATTCCCAACTGATCGGTGCAGATGTACATGAGCTTCTCCGCTGACGCAAGCCTGGTCGCTGCGGCTCGCTTGATGTAGTGCTGAGGAACGGAGATCCGGTGCGCCTGGTAGGTGGCATCGTCAATAAACTCCGTCTGCTCCACGACGTTAAAGACGTAGTCCTGGCCCTCCTCCGTCGTCTTCGTGGCCTTGCCCCAGTAGAGAAAGTGGTCATTGTTCACAACCCTTCCGCTGAAGTCGATCTGGCTCAGGATTGTGATGTGGTCAGTGTGGTAGTCGTCCGCTTTGGGCCTAATGAATCTGTTACAGAGGCATGATTTGCCAATTCCAGAAGCCCCCTTGTCCTTTTCCGTTCCAGAAAGTCCAACAACACTTATGTTAAAGGTCCGGCTCTCCTTGCTTTTGGACATTTCTGTATTGTGAAACGTTGAGTGCTCAGTTCATTGTTGGGGAGGTCAATGGGCACTTTGGTTTTATTTCTTACAAAATCACATTATTGTTTCTAAAATCCAATGTTTGTCTTTTCTTCCAAAATTACACGGTGCACAAGGCCACAACAGTTTCCTCAAGCTGGAACTCTGTAAAGACAGAGAGGATACAGAAACACATGGCACCACGTGTTATTTATTGACAGCACAACTATGAGTGCAAAAAACACAAAGCAAACGTGTGAGCTGCATTTTTGTAGACAATGCAAACATTAGGCAGCAGCAATTCCACAGCTCAGCAATTGTAAAAGATGGCCATGAGTTAGGGTTCAATCTTTTGTCTAATTAACATTTTATTTTGGTCTCATTTGCATCGTATTAAACTTTTAGTCTCATATGTACAATTTTGTATGTTTCATTGGCTTAACGACACGTTAGCATAGATTATATAAAGTCAGCATGTCTTACGTAACTGAATGAATTAAACCTACAAAGTATTATTACATGCTCTCGTTTAAGTTTTGGAATAAAAAAAAGTAATCGCCTCTACTTATTTGGTAAATGGATTAACAATCGGATATCCCAACTCTACGCCTCCACCCACACCAAACTCCAGAGCCCACAACGCACAAGTCACTGCCTCATGGTGGCAGCGTGCGGTTTGCAGCAGGAATCTAGCAATGGCATTGATCAAAATCAAATCTAAATAATTTATCACGTATAAAGAGCTTTGTGTTTTTCAATGAAGGTTGCTGTATATATAAAAACATTATTCATTTAATGAATTTAACACGTGTAAGAATTCACTACTTCAGATTTGAGAGGTGGCAAGGCCGCTCAGAGGTCAGCGTTGAGCTGGCACTGATGACAGCCTGGGTTCGAATCCAGCTTTCAGCACACTGCCTGATTACACCGGTTATCACACGCAGTGCAGTACAGTAGTCCCTCAATTAATGTCTTTAATCCGTTGTACGAAAATTACTGTTAACCAAAATAAGTGTTAATATAATTCACTTATAAGTTGCAAGGGAGCAGTTTCCACTGCCAAAACAGAAAACGTAATTTAAGCAAAGCCAGTCGAAGTCTACACATAAATGGGTGTCCCTGACTGGCTGAGGGCATGACTCAGCCCCACTTACGAGCGCCCGGATTGGCCGAAATTGGCACAGGTGTGCGTAACGTAAACGTACCATGTCAAAATGTTAACACTCATCAAAACCGTGGGGTCCTGATGGGATGCAAAATGTTAATAGAAAAAAACTTTTACTGATGTCACTGTTAACCGAGGGACTACTGTAGTACGTTCATCATCTCAAGCCTGGTCATCAAACACTCACAGACATCCATCCTAACATGGAGACCCATAGACCCACAAACTGAATTGTGATTAAACTGGGTACTCAAGCACCATGAGTTGATGGTCAGTCTGGTCACCAAATATTACACAAAAAACCCCATCACTTAATTTGGCAAAATTTCAGCTGTGAATAAGCCCTGGTGGTGAGATGTTATCTGCCCCGCCCGGTATACATACATCTCAGGAGTAACTGACAAATTAGCCCGGGTTTTGCAAAAGCAAAACATTAAAGTAAGATTTGGTACAGTGCACAAAAGAACACCAAGGAAACATTAAATTATCTCAAACACAACTGTTGGCAGTGGCAGAGCATGCTTGTCAACAAGGACACTCAATTGATTTTGATAACGTTGCAGTGTTGTGTAAAACAAATTATTACTGGCCAAGACTAATTAGAGAATCCATTGAAATTGAGAGAAACAGAAATAACTTCAATCGCTCTGACAGCTACAGGCTTAGTGCGGCCTGGAAGCGTATTATCAAATAAAAACAATTACAAATCCTTATAAGGGAAACAAATACCAATGAAAAACAATTGAATGATTACCAATCTATATAATTACAATACCCCCCCTTCCTTGCCTCGAATCACTGCACCAGATTGAATTGAATTAAATGATGACGTCACACTGAGGCTGCTCTATTTAAGAACGGAAGCAACAGGAGAGCTTCACCATTCTTGCCCGATGAAGCTGATTGTAATTATCAGCGAAACGTGGTACTCAAATTTAAAATGCTGTTGATCCTCTCTTCAGCACATCGGTGGGCTAAAGAAGTGAATTATTTTGTCCTTTGAAAACGTGACACATTTTTTACTGTTTGGCCGTGTCGGGTGGTGGAGGGTTACGACACATTTATAAATAACGCGACATGACCCAAAAAACCTATATTATGAATAATATTGGTCGCGAAAGCCTACGTGTTAAATTAAGTAGTGGGTTCGATCCTGACCCTGACGCCTGTATACTTCGAGTCTTCATGTTCTCTCTCCCCGTAGTAATGTGAATTTTCCTCTAAGTCGTCTGGTTTTTCCCCTCCGCATTTAGAAACATGCTTCTATAAATTTCCACTTCGTTGAGTTATCATTTGTGATAGCCAAGTGGCTTCTGAAAAAATTGCTACATAAATCAGTGGGTCTTACTTGGTGAAATAAAAAAATAGTTTATAGTTTAATATAATGAAAACTACGTGGAATAAACAGGAGAGTTGTTAGGTGTCAGTACTAAACATACACGTCTCAGCAACTAATACAGAAATAATTTAACAAAGCAGTCGGGGTGATTGATGATCCAGCACTCGCCGATTCCCTCGCTCACCAGCATTAAGGGGCCATCCATTTCGTACGTACGCATGGAGGGGGGATTAACCCAAATGCGTACACTTGCGTATAGGGGGGGGGGGGGGTCTACTGACAATGTACGTACGCATAGGAAACGGGGGGGGGGGGTGAAGCCTCGATAATAATTTGTCTACATTGGCCTTCAAATGAGCCAGTTCAGTTTTTCCTTAGCTGTTAGACAAGTACGACCGGGAGAAGTAGGTCTGGGGGAGAGGTGTCACTTGTATGCCACCGTACCCCTGACTGATAGCTATCACACAGCTCAGCAGTAAGTCCGACAGTCTGACAGTCTGGTGGCCTGCCCCATAGATTACACATCCTTCAATCTGACCTCGCTGCAGACTGCCACTGGCTCAAGATTTTAGCTGCCGCGGTGCGTTTTTCGTGCTGCTGCTGCCCGGACTTCAGTACTAACACTTGTTTGTACATCGGTCTACTGTTACAGCAGATGTTCAGTCGACGCACTTTATTTAGAGACTAGTTCACCGAGTTTTAATTGTGTTTTAAGATCATAATAGGCGTGTTTTTGAATAACTAGTCAGGATGGATAACACGGTCAAGTATAACTTTGTACAAAGCTGTGTGTAAAGCTAGGCCGCAAGCTAGTACACAAGAACACGTTAATATTAGGAATCTTTATAGTTTCTGCGTGGATTAAATATCGACCGTTCTATAGTTTTCGAGGGGAGGGGTGCGTCAAGCGTATGTACGCAGGTGGGGGGGGGGGGTGTAAAAAGTACGCGTGCGTACAGGGAGGGGGAGGGGTCAAGTTGACAGATGTTTGCGTACGTACTAAATGGATGGCCCCTAAGTCCCCTCCCTATCATTCTTATGCCACTACTACCATGGTTATTGTTCCCGTGAACTTCACTGGTCGATTCCTTCACCCATGTTCAGACTCAGTCTATAAAACACTGACTGTTAAAAAATAGTCTGTTTTATTTTATTTAAAATGACCCTTAAACCGTGACTAATCACAGAATGGCCAGGAAGTAGGCTTTGTGACGAAGGTATGGCCACGGTAATGTCACATCGCGCCCTTCACATCGATAAACCAGTTTGGTTGTTATTGACGCATGAGCACGTATGCCCCTTCACAAAAGGAGGGCACCTACATACCAAGACACCCACACGTTTACCTATATAAGTCACTCGGGACTTCACACATTATTTCCTTCTCTCTTTCTCGCCCAGGCTCGAAGCAAATGTTGTGACAAACTCTGCTTTTTTTTACACTTCACACTGTCGATGAGCACAGTACCAAATACCCAAAAACGTCAAGCAGGCAGGAACAAAGGGCAGTATAAAAGTTGTAATAGGGGCCAGATTGTTATCAGAAAAGCTTGGGGAAAGGGATGAATGGGAGGGATTTCCAAAGACGAGCAGTGTGTGAGGAAAGAAGCAGCAAGTGAGGTGACCTGCAGTGGTCAGTCAGTGAGCGCGTGGGTGGGCGAGTGTGTGAATACGTGGGAAGGCGAGTGGGTGTGTTGTAACCTGCAGTGTTGTGGGGAGCAGTCATGTAGTGGTTTGCACGCTGCACTACCAACCCGGCGACACGGGTTCGATTCCCACTCACGGCCAACATGAGTGACGATAATTTGAACCGATGATGGGCCTCCCCTAGGTCGACTCAGCCTTAAATGAGTACCTAGTGTGGTGGGTAAACTTCGCTACTAGAGAGACAAAGGTGGTCGGGTGTGGTGCTGGCCACCCACCACCTCGTGCGCAATGCCGGCTTTCATAGGTCATCGCTAACAGGCTATATGGGAGATCTTTATCTTTGTGTTGCACTGTTGCTGGTGGGTGAACGTGTGAGTGATTGGGTATAGTGTGTTGTAGTCATCTGCAGTGATGGTGGTGGTTAAACAGTGCGGATGCGATATGGCAGTTAGTCTGGTAGACTGCGTCCATAACATAGGTAAGTGTGTTGTTGTGACCTGCAGTGTGGTGAGAAAGTGGGCGAGTGTGAGTGGGTGTGCGAGTTTTTAAGTGGGTAGGCGAGTCGATTAGTGCCTGAACGAGTATGTAGTGTGTGGTAGTCACCTATAGTGTAAGTGGTTGTGGTGGTTGAACACAGTGTGGTGGATAAGACGAGACAGTCTGTCTGGTAGACTGAGTCCTCAACATGAGTGGAGGGATCAATGATTGAAGCTCATGGGGACAATAACCATGGCATTCACGACCATATGAAGCACCATGTTAATATGAAGCACCCTGTTAAATATTTGAGACTCTGCAGTCCAATGTTTTCGAAACTTTCCACTGAGACCACAGACCATACTGCTAAAAGACGTCACGTGTTTTTACAACGGGCACTGCACAACGCGTAGGCATCAGTGAAGCAGCGTACACAAACAGGGATCTTGTAGCTCACAATCCACACCACACAAACCCTTTTACTATTTTATTACAATTCCACTTGTTTACCTGGAGAGTCTCAGTCATGAGACTCTT